CAATTTTTTTATTTCACGCAAATTTTTTGTTTATATTGATTGCGATTACGTATAATAGAGTTTGCATAATATAATATTATATTATATTCCAAAATATTTATTTGCACAAAATATAAAAAAAAAATTTTATTTCTTGTGTACCAATATCGTATATATGTATGTATATCGATCTCATTAATTTCACCATTTCAATAGAAATGTCACGATAATTATTTCGAAAAAATATATAACAAACATATGATTAATTAATAATTATTCGTATTTAAATTTAAACTATTCGTAATAAATTATATATTTTTTATAATTTAATAAATTATTATAATTTAAATAATTTATGCAACTTATTAACATTATTTATATAATTTAAATAAATTAAATTCATAATAAAATTTATAAATATTGAAAAATATGCAGCATCTTAAAATAGCAAGTATCCTAATATTTTTGAACAGCACGATATATTGGCAAAGGTGTTAATCGCGTGACGCACGGTCACGCATTGCCGTCAAATAGAAAATCAATCTTCGCATAACCAACCAGGCAAAAAGCTAACTAAAATCGATCAACGATCGCTCATAGGAAACCGAAAGTCCTTTATTTAATATTAAAACCATCAGCCTATAATATGTAGCTAAAATTATTATATTATACAAATAGTTAAAATAATTAAAATTAAAGTACTATTATAAAATTAATATATATATATATATAATCATGTTTATACTGTATAAGAATTATTAATTTTTACAAAAAATACCTGTATATTTTTAACAATAGAATTGTATTTATATAAAGTTGTTTGAGGATAAGCAATTTACATAACCAAATTCATATAATATTGAATGCTTATTCATTATTTCACTACTTAATTTTTCGTTTCATATTCACATAAATAGATTTGATAGTATATCTAATTAATTTCTCGAATTATATAATAATTAATCTATCATATAACTTACATTTTTGTTTAATAATGTTCAACATTAGTTCAAATAATAGTTCATTTAGAGTTCACTCAATTGTTCACTTAATTGATATAAATTTTGTTCCAATAAATAAAGTTCAGATGATTAGAGCACAACTTCAGTAATATAAAAAAACAAAAATTTTGAAATCAATATCAATATCAAATAGGTTAGGTTGTTCTGGTATTAATAAATCGACCGTACAACATTTCGCAATTAGACTGCTCTAAGTTGTATGATGTTTTGTGGTTGATATTCTGCTTGATATGCCCCCTAGGGTTGATAATTTGCACGATATAATCACAATCTGTTGCATCATAAGGCGCGTGAGACTGGATTTAAGGCCAGAATGCTTGGAAGGGTGGTTAAAAAGGAGGTACGCGCATGTTGCGGCGAGACAAATGTACGGAACGAGGGAAGAAATGAGATGGAGAAGAGAAAAGGATAGAGTGACGCATGTAGATTTTCAAAGACTGGAAGCACGCGTGCGCACGATTACGTGTATCCCGACAAATAACCGAACACAGTCATTCCCCTATGAATGCGAAGTGCTCGTAGGGGAATGATTCGATAGAAATAGACAAGAAGGAAGCACTCGTCGCACTTATAAATCAGCAAATGTGCAAAAAAGAGAAAGAGAACAGCAAAATTAGTATGGAAATAAGGTATAAGAAAATAGTGTTAAGTATATTTGAAGCGTTCTTAAGCGTTCTCTAAATAATGAAATGCCAAAAAATAAATTTTCTTCAAATTGAAGAAAGAAAATATAATTAATAGTAAATTTTGATTTATTTTTATAATCAATATAACAAACATAAACAGAATTTTGTATTTTTTGAAATAAATTACAAATTGAAAACATATTTAATATTTAATATTTTATTTCTATTTATTTTTATTTATGTATTGAATAAAAATTTTCAAATAAAAAAGAAGTTGAAAATTATTCTATCTTCTTTAATTCAATTTTATCTTTTTTTGAAATTTTAAAAATTATAATATATAATGAAAAATAAAGATATATGCTAAATAAGATATTTTAATTAATGATTTTAATTAATATTATTACTGAAATAAAATAGTTTTATTATAATGAAATATATAATATTTGAAAATATATTTCATAATTATGAAATACACGAATTATTTATAATAAGTTAGAAATTAATAATTAAAATAATAATTTTTAAATATATATTAAAAAATAATTATTTAATATAACGTTTTATGAATCTATGAGTTGATTTGAATAGAATTTCATGGAAATTATGTAATAATATATATAATTATATAAAAATATTTTATAAATATATTAATATCCTAAACATGATATCTTTGAACATAAAATATACAAAACATATTATGCAAAGAATGCAAAATAGAAAATATATTTCTAAAATCCTCTATCCAGATATTTTTTGCATATATGACTTTCCGCATATATAAAAATATGCATTTGCATAAATATTACAAAACAACAATTACGTTAATTACATTTAACTAATAAATTTAATTAACCTAGATCCAAAGTTGAAAAAAAATTCATTTTTTATTCGAAATACCATTACCTAATACTGAACTCAGAATTAAAGAGAAACAAGGAGAGCATGAGAAAGAGCGAAAAGGGATGGTTACCGTTAAGAAGGGTGTACTACCCCTTGCAAGAGCCGAGTCTTACCGCGTTAATTGCAAGTACTTCCCTCGGGGTACCACAACGGGTATACATAGAGTTTCTACCCACCTTGCAGGTTCCACCCCATCCAGTAGGGTTTAAGGGTACGCAGAGATGATTCGCGCACCCCTTTTTCCCTTTTCATGCTCACCCGGGTCCTTTCATTCCTCGCCAGTGGTTAAAATATTAGGATTTCCCCGAGGTCTCGTGCGCTCGTGTTAGGGCTATCGGTGCCTCCCTTCCTCTTCTCTCCTTATCCAGTGACTCGTCAACAGCTCGACGAGACGCAGTAAGCTCTTGTTCCTTCGATTCAGCTCTCGAAAAGCTCTCTCTTTTACTCCTTGACACCCTCGTTCGAATGACTAAGATTCGAATCAAAGACAAGGCTCTTCTTTCCATTGATTCTGGTCCATCGCGTCTTGATGTTTTTGAAATTACTCTAATCCTTTGACAAGTGAAAATGCACACTGACGAATAAGCTTCGTTTGGAAACGCAGATAAGTTTTTATGATATTACATATTTAGTATATTTTTTTTTATAGCTTTTAAACGAAAAGTTTCGATAGTTGATCGACACAAAATTTAGAAAATGATAACAGAGAAGTATGGATATTAAATGTAAAAATTTCTTAAATTTGAATTTTAAAAAAGCACTATATTATATTAATACAGATGTGATTAATACATTGAATGTTGTCTATTCAGATAGATCTTACTGATGGAATAATTATTGTTTTAGTTCAGTTATTGATTATCAAGTAATGATAATTTATATTCGAAAATTATGTAAAATATGTATTTTTCATAAAGTATTATTATTGTAAATCAATCATAATTAAAAGTATAATCATCTTATGATTATTAATTATTGAATTAATTAATTATAATTTCTCTTAATTGTGATTAATTATGATAAATTATTAATGATCAGTAATTACATAATTATTAAGAAGATTAATTAGTAATTATAATTTTCAATCAGATTAATCAGATTTTTGTTCAACTCTGCTCATATGTAATTCAAAAATGAAAAGAATGAGTATTTGAATGAATTAAAATATCTTCTCATTTTCTTCATTTAAATTTATAAATGAAGAATTTGTAAAAATGACTTACTATATTTAATATAAATAGAGAAAAAAATAACATAATAATGGAATATGTGATTACGTATTGTAATTATTTTTCTATAATAAAATTATATATATTTGACATATATAATAAAATTACATTATAATTAAACATTCCTAATCATTGCTAATTTATACATAATGATAACAAATGATTAACTATTTTTGTTTCTCAAATTAAAAATTTTTTATTTTTTCAAGAAATATAATACTTTTTTGTATAATACTTTTGATTCATCTCTTAATTAGCATATTTGATCAAAAATTTCTTTTTAAGAATATTTATAAATATTAAGAATATAAATTCAATCAATTTATAAATAAGACAGAATCTTTTAAAAAATGAAATAGATAAATATAAAGAGAAACTTACTGATATACATTATTATAATAAAATAACTGATCTTTTTAAGGACACAAATTAGAATTAAAATGGTTATAATTTTCTTGTTATCTTATCCTAAACAAGGTATCCCATTCATATTATAAATATTACTATCTTGAATAATTTTAAATCGATGAAATTTTTAGGACCTTCTTCTTTTTTATTTTGAATACTTTTGTTTTTCTTGCCATGATTCGATAGGAAGCAAATCGGACGAGGAGAGACTGGAAAGAAAAAAAAGAATGATTATATGGTGACAGATGCGAAAAACCGGAATGTAGAACGTATTAAATTACTTTCATCTCGAGTACTCGTGTTTTCCTACCGCATATTCTCATCTTATTACACTTGAACACCTTTAATTGCATAGCAAGTCATTTTAAAACGATTATAATTACTGAATTGTCATTTTTATCGTTGTTTATTCGAATCAATATTTGAATTATATTTTATTATTTATATATATATTATTGATAAAATTTTTTTTATTATTATATAGAATATTAATATATTCATGAAATTTTGGAAGTCAATTTTATTCGTTTTATCTAAAAATATAAAAAATTTAAATTGTTTATAATTTAATAAATAAATCTAAATTGATTTTTTATATATCAATTTTTGCGTTTTTTTTTCTTTAAATTATTATTTTTAATTTATTATTAATCTCACTTATCATTGTATTATAAAAATACTTGCAACGATTTTTATAATTTAACAAATTTATTTTACATGTAAATATTATAATATGTTATCATTTTGCAGACATTCCAAAAAATATCATCATTTTTGACGTCGGATAAATTGAATTATTTGAATTTAAATAACAACTTTAACCATTTTTTTCCCATTCATTTCTGAGTTTCACGAACCGTAGAATTTTTTTGTTACGCAAGAAATTCATCAAGATACGGGAAAGAAAACTCCTTTTTATTTCTTAAATTAACGAGTTGGCTGGGAGATTAAACGCTTCCAACGATTTTCTCTTGCTAATTCGCCGGTTCAAAGCCCTTTGACCTTTTCCTATAAACTAAGTTGCGATAAAATTTATCTAGAAAAATTACGAACGCGTAAAGGAGAAAAGCTTTTCAGCTATGTTTAGTTAAAAAAAATTTAGATCTTTTAAGATATGATGCATCAGACAGTGAAATAAATATCCTGTTGTACTTACTTTTATTTATTAATAGTATATATGATATAAAATACAAATACGGGCAACCACATCTTCAAATACCAATTTAAATGAAATATAGCAATGAGACAAAACAATGTATTGGTGATATCTGAATATGACACGAGTATGTTCAGTATATCTAAAGTTTGATTTATACAGCTGTAAATGCGATCTCTATTAAATGTGTATACCATCATGAACTCTGGAGATATATGGTAAATCACTAGAATCCTGTTCCCACAGGACACAAGCTCTAACTAAGTATGTTCGTACCAACTTTGGTATTGTATATTGCCATTAGAAGTTTATACATTCCATCAGTTGTTAATATATTATGTATTCATGAAGCATTTTGGAAGATCGATTCTAGAGATGAAAACAAGTACAAGTTATATACAAAAATTTTAATTAATATTTACTTATTATTTATAAAAAATAATTTAAGTTTTTGTTAGATGAAATAAATGAATATAGAGTGAGACATTATCTCACTTTATCTCACTAAAGAAAACTTAACCTTAATTTTCGATCCTGATTGGATACAATGGATATTCCATATTATTCTTTTGTAAAATAATATATATATTATATATACACATTATGTATTATTTTATATTTTTATAATCTGTTTGATTATATATTATTATGTACAAGATAATAAAAAAAATATGGATACTAGATAATTACTAGATATTTCATTCCTTTTTATTTTTTCGTTTTGCATTCGTGATTGTTTCTATTATTATTACTATCATACAAACTTAGTCTTAATAAAAAATCACGCATATTTATAAAATCAAATAAATTCATCCTATTTTTTATAATTTTTGTAACAGATATAATTTATATAATATCATGTAAATTTAAATGATAATTAGTATATAAATTTATTCAAACATACCTTGAGGATAATAATATAATAGCTTTCAGCATTTAGGCTTTGCAGCATGGTAATTATAATAACTGTAATAATAGTAACTTTTTTTTCTCTTGTAGATTAACATCTGCACCGATATCAACAATTACGTAGAATTATGCAGATCAACCGGAAAAAAAATTCTCTTGTATTTGGAAGTATAAAGAATTATTTAACGAAAAATGTTGGTTTTTACATTTATAGATATTCTGAAACTATCTAAAATAGAAAATAAAAATATATTTTATAAATAATTAATAAAAATATATGTATGTCTATAGAATAATTTTTTGTGACATTTTATATAATAAATTTGATTTTTATTTATATATGTTAATTATATATGTCATATAAAAATCTAGGATTTATATCTTTTACCTGTGAAAATTCTGTGTTATCTATATTATATATTATATATGCATATAATAGTTAATTTACATTTTCACTTCAATGGAGATCTCAACATAATCTAAAACAAAATAAATTTTTTTATATTTTTTATATTATTTCATTGTTAAAATATTAATTGAAATATTTTGAATTATTGAGATTCATACAATGACATTTGTATTACATTCTATTTATTCTGTTTCATCTATACTATATTTATACTATCTTTTTTTTTACCCTTAACACAGCCAAAGTCAAATAATGTTCATTTTTTCAGATATTTGGTCAAACATAATAAGTAGCCATATATCCGGATATTATTGTCTTTATTACATAAACATGTAATGTACATACATATATGTAAATATGTAAATTACATATATATGTATTGTAAGATATAGTTGCTATTCGATTGTATTATATATATTTTTTATTGATTTTTTATATACAAAAATTTCTTATATATTTACAATCTAACTATTATTGATGGATATTCAATCTCTCATTTTTCTTCAATTTATCTCGTTCAATTTTTTTTTTTGTTCTTTCAATATATTCCAAGTAAATAAAAAAGAAAAAAGTATAATCTTATAACATTATGTTTGACAAATATCGAATTCTACAAAATAGGACATTCGTTTTACTTTTAATAAAATTTTTCAAGGGTAAAAAATGAAGTATCATTTCTTTGCAAACAAGAAATATCGGGAAAAGATATGACAGAAATAATGACAGTTTGAAAGAAGGGGATCGGAGAAAAAATGGATGGACAAGCAAAAACTGATGAGAACGAGGCATCAAAGAGTTTGGAGGAAACGAAGGTTGAAAAGGTAAAGAAAGGGAAGAGAAAAAAAGATGGCTGAAGAGTAGGTAAAGAGCGCTGTTTTCAAGTGTCTGCTGCTGTTCTGGCCTGTGTTAACACTTTACGCCTCCCTTTTACGTATTATCGTCCCCACTTAAATACTTTTGTTCGAATTCGGATAGTCTGATTCATAAAATACAGCCACAACTATACTTTTATATATATAATATATTCGAATAAAAGTTCAAGAAAAAGTTTACAATTGTATCCGTTGAATATTTCTTGATTATGAATCAAATTACTTTCTTGCAAAATGGTCTCATTTTATAATAATTTAGTTATATTATTAAAATCTTTTATAAAAAAATAAATATAATGTACTTCCATATCTAGATTATCTATAATTAGCTATTATATATTGAAATTTTTTAACAAAAATATTATATTATCATTTTATAACGGCAACAAAATATATTTTCAATATAAAAGAACAAAATAAAATATAAATAGGATGGAAAAAATTAGGAAGCAAAAATTTTTTTTGTTATTCATAGTTTCTAATAGTGAATAAAAATTGTTATTTTTTTTTAAAATAATATTTAAGTTGCTGAAATCTAAATTTAATCACAGATTTTCTAAATGCAGCAAACTACTGAGGAATTGTTTTTATAAATTCTTCTTTATATAATAATTTATGGTAATATCATTTTTTATTGTGTAATATAAAAATAATTTTATACAAAAAACTCGAAAAATTCTAGATATTATTTTTAATTTATATATATATATAATATGTTCTATATATTTATTTTAAAATATTAATATATTTCTAAAATAAGATTAACTAAAATATTATAACTGATAATAATTTAGAAAAATTAGTTGTAATTTCGATTTCAATCGACGCAACATTCTTCTGCACTGCGGACATTTCAATGGATTATTGAAAAAACAAATTCAGACTGTTATACAATACGGAAGAATTTGTGTCAGCGAAAAAACTTTGGAATCTGAATCTAAAAATCAATGAAATGTAAAAAATGCAAATTATATATTATTTTTTTTAAATGTATATTATATATTTGGAATTCATTCTTTTTTTACGTTTTCTTGAAAATATTATTTGTCATATTTTTTAGGTTATGTATTTTTCGTAAATTTTTAGGAAACGAAATATTATACAAAATAAGCACATTGAAATGATGATATGTATTTTAGTAAATACTCATCTCGTCATAAAAAAATGAAAGCAAACAACAATGCTTTGTTGATAATGCATCTATTCATTGTACTATGGTCATGAATTTTTAATCAAAAATAAATAGTAACGCTTGGTCATTCATTTCACTGCATTTACCTGATGTGGTTCTTTGTGGTTACTTTTTATTTCCAAAATAAAAAGCACTAATGAAAAAAACTCGCGAGATATTTTAATCATAGAACAACGTAATAGAGATATTCAGTGATTTTAACATCCAATAATCTATCTTTGCGACGGTTAACTATATTTAACGAACTATCGATATCGGAAAAAAATACTTTGAATAAAAAATTGAATAAAAAATAATTTTTATGAATATCATATTTTCGAATTTATATATTGTTATTTTCGTTATTTTTCAGAAAATAGATCGAAAATATCAAGTCGATATAATAGAATCGAAAAGTTAACGATCGTTAAGAAAATCGATCGTATTATTAAATTGAAAGAAACAGACTATATACATACATGTTTCGCCGAGTAAACAATGTGCATTCTGAAGAGTTGCTAGGTTGCAGGATACTTCAGACTGCATTCGGTTTCCGGGAGTAGTACAGGGGTGAGTATGCTAGCGATCATGTCGTCTGCGGTATGGTGAATAGGCTACAGGCGAAATGCCAACTTCGAACTTTGTTTACTCGTCCCACCGCGCAACTTGCATCGTGCTCGATAGAGGGAAGTACAGTCTACGAGTGGATACTAGTCTTTCTCTTTCGATGCAACATGTTGCGTATGTAAAGTGCGTTTAAACTAAATGAGTGAATGCTCGTTCTTTCTTTTTTTCAATAAATTAAGATCCAATATTGTTTTAATGCAACATTTCATTTGTAATATTTTTTTAATTAATATATCATAATTATCAGAAATCAAATTTTTTAATAGTGCAATTATGAAGACTCCAAGAAGGTTTAATATTTTTTTTATAAAGAATTATTAAAAGATTTTTTTGACATTTATGTTTATACCTATATATCTTGGTAAGTTATAAATAATCACATATGTACAAATTCTAATATTTATCATAATATTGTATATTATTTATATACTCTTAATAAGTTAAATGCAAATAAATTTTTTTTAATTAATATATTCTTATAATATATATTCATTTATTCTAAATATATTAGATCTTATATCTAAATATATTCATTTATTTTAAATATATAAATGCATCTTAAAAGATTAACTTAAATCGATAATGATTCGCGTTTCTTTCGAAATTAGTTGATTTTAGACAATGTCTAATATTTAATTATATATCTGTGAGATCATATCTGTAAGATTTTGGATTATATCTAAATAAATAGATTTATTATAGAAAAAGATAATGAATAAAAATATATTTCATATAAATTTATTAAATAGAATAGTAAAAATCTATTTTTATCTAATTCAACATATACCAATTCATATAACAAATCCAATACTTTTTTTTTTAGATTGCTATATAGGTTAGACTAGATAAAAAAGATGATGTTAATATCAAATCAAATATAATAAATATTAGTTAAATTATAAAATTTCTTATTAAGAATAATTTTTCGCAAAATATTTTTTATATTTATAGTCTGTTATATTATAAAAATATTTTTTAGCTAATATATTTTTGTCTAAGTAGATTTTGTATATGAATTACAGAATGCAATTTATAATATTGATAATATTATTTATAATATTTATAATATTGTTGTTATAGAATTGGTTTTAGTCAAAATAAAAATTGTTTTAATTTAGATTTCGTCTGTAATATAGATCATTATATTATTATGAAAAGTTGTTATATTTACGAATTTTTTTACAAAAATCATTCATGTTTATATGTAACGATATGTTGTATAAGATTCTAAATCTTCTACAAAGAAATTTTTTCTTTTTTTTTTTGTTTTTTACTAAAGAAAATTTTAATTTGTCTCAGTAAACTTTGGTACTGTCAAAAACAAAAAAATTTATGTATAGGATGAAAGCTCTAATGTAAAGCATTGTGACACAATTCAAGAGGAATAATATGTTTAAAAGAATGTATATGTTATGTCGTTAATTAATTTCTGTTTGTAAATAATGATAGATTAAAGTTCATACATAATAGTATCTCATACATAATTTTCCTCTGTATATCAAAAGTTATCCATTATATTACAAAAAAATAGATGAACAAGTTCATTAATTATATTACATCTGTTAAATAATCATGTGTGTGCTTATTAGAAAATATAATTATATATTTTTGTTCTTTTATATTAAAATGAAAACTTGTTATTTTAATATATATGATATTTAATATAAATATAATATTTTATAATTGCAAAAGATTTATCTCTATAATAAATTTTTTTAGGTTATATTTGCATATTTAATGAATTCGAGAGAGAATAACAATTTTTTTATCTATTAAATAAATAAATACAATAGTATAATAGTGGATAATTGTTATAAGATTAGGATTGGCAATTAGAGATTAGGATTAGAGAAAAGAAAATATGTGTTCTAAAAATTCTTTCTTTGTATGACTTCTTTCTTAATATAAATATTTTATAAATATTTTTAAATCTGTCATGTACATCATTTAGAATGATGATTAGAATAAAGATTCTAAATGACTTAAAAATTGAAATTTGAATTCCAGAAATTACTAAGAATAACTTCGCAACAATAGGCAAGAAATGCGATGGTTAATCTGAGGCAACTATATAATCCAAATTATATTGATTTCGATCTCCATTTAAACTTAGAATAATCTCACAAATATATTAGCAGAAGTATCATTAAAGAAAAATAGAAAAATTTTATCATTGTATCAATAGTATCTCGATTATATATCTCATCGATATATTTCAAATGATATTTACTCTTTTATGTTTGCTTTTAATTTAATTTAAAAGTAAGAATCAATATCTTTGTAATAAATTGGCTTTGATCCTGGATCTTCTGCAAATAAAATATTTGCTTGTAAAATATTTATTATAACTATATATCATGTATTAATATTAATGTATTAATATTTATCTTTTTTGTTTAATTATTAATTATTATTTTATTTAAATTTGTTTTTTTCAGAATTCAGATCTTTTGGATATTCAGATACCGAAATTTGGATTTTGAATTATTACCAGTATCTCGAATATTATATATTCAAATATCAAAGATTTCTCAAGTAGAAACTAATATAGCAATTCGCCTATAGCCATATATAGTTGATATACATAGATAGTTGAGTACATCGACCTTTAAACATCAGAAATTTAACGATTTGCGTTACTGGCTGGATTCCGGCATCTCAAGCGAATTTCGCAATTTACACGTCAAATAAACGCCAAAGAAAAATCTAATTTTCCAGTGTCACTTTGGAAATCAATCTCGCGACCAAACGAATAGTTTCACTCCCTACATTTAGGAATTCGTTTTGCGTTCTTATAGATTGTTAAAATACTAGATTTATACAATAGGATTTAAATTTAATAGGATTTAAAAGGTAATTTTTGAATGAAATTACAAAGTAAATTTTCTACAGTATGTCTGAAAAATAATAAGGTATATAAGTTCAACATAATATTCATAAAAATCATTCATTTATTCAAAATACAATGATTTATGAAAATAAATGAATACTTTTTTATTTTTGAAATGAAATTTTGTAATTATATAATCGGTTGGTTATTATGAAACAATTTTTTTTCGAAATAACATTTTAAAAAATAAAATAGATTTTTAAACTTTCAATGCGTTTTTTTTTAAAATATAATAAGAAACAATTTTAAATTATAAAATGTTTAGAATTATAAAAAAATTTTTAAATTTTCTAACCAAAATATTTAAAATTTAAAAAA